ATACTTCACTCTGCAATGGTGCTAATTACTCAGATAAGTCTTTTTAGGGCAAACTTTTAGTAAAATATTGGATTCCTATAAAAATATGTAAAATAGACTTGGCACCACAGGAAAAAAGATTATTTGCCTTTTATCCGATATTAGTAAATTTATGCCATTGCCTCCCCTTCACCCTCTACATAGATACTCTCTAATTTTCTTACCTGCGTAACAACATAGCTGCCCTTCCAGCTGAACAATGGCTTGTGAAACAGTTTAAACTGTAATCGCAGCTTGCCCATATCGTCTGATACGCGGAAACTATCCGCCAATGTGGTCAGCCAGTTGACCACATTTTCATTGGCATAGGTGATGAGACCCTGTCCGAACGGATGCTTGCCGTCCAATACGAAATTGATAATACCACGAACTGAATTCTCGGTCAACAAAGTTTCCTCATCCAAATGCACAATCCAATCGTTGTCGTTCAACACATTCACATCATCCTCCAGACAATATTGTAATGCACGTGACTTGAATAGTGCGCCAGTACGTGTTTTATACTCCTTCGGCACAACAATCTCACGTATACGTCGATGTTGTGCTAAATTAACTGGCTTATCGGTGACCACTTCGATGAGGAAATTCTCCAGGCCCGTATCCAGACATGTGTTCATGTTGCGCAACACATTCGTCTTAACCAAATCGGCAAAATCACCGCGCGTGACCACACGTATGCATATGAAGGGCGCCAAAATGGGGCTACCCTTTAGCACCACCTTCTCGGGGAAGGCATTGTAGAAGACGAGACCGCAAAAATTGAATAACACCTGCGGTAGCGTTAGGAAAGTGAGGAAACGTAGTAAGTACAAAAGTACGGAGGCCACTTGGCCGTACTCAATCCATGGATCGACGAGCGTAAATGAGTTCTCGTCAATTTTAATACCGCCGGAGAATACTTCAAATGTTATTATCACAATGAGAAGGAGTGTGCAATGCAGCAGATGCTTTGTGCTTGAATTCATAATGGCGCGGCTGTTGCGGTTGCTGCANGTGTGCAATGCAGCAGATGCTTTGTGCTTGAATTCATAATGGCGCGGCTGCTGCTGTTGTGGATTTGGTTCTGGTGTGGATGTTTATAATGACGTTCTTGAGATGAGATGCTTGTTTACTTTTCAACTTCTTCTTCTTCTTCTTCGGTGCGATGAGTATTGCTGCTTTTGTTGATAAGTTGTTAATTGAGACGGAACTGAGTGTGTGTGTATGAATGTATTTGAAATGATCGCAAAATTGCTTGTTAGCAGTTTGCTTATTTGCTCTGTGTTGCTTATTTTGTAGTTGCCTAGCTAGGATTTAAGTTCTTTGCGCTTAAGTTTCAAGTGCTTGCAGTTAAGATAGTATTTAGGCGTTTTTATTTATATTCTTTAATTTATTGTTTTACTTTGCTCGTATTTACTAGTGGTTGTTGCTTATTTTTGGTGCGATCTTTACGTGCGTAAGTGTATTTGCTTTTGATTATTTTTCTTTAGTTTTTGGTTTGTTAGCAAAAATGTCGACTTTTGAGTTTTCGTTAAATTTGTGCCTGCTGATAATTTTTGTTTGCCCAACAAACGAAGAAATCACGTCACATTCACGCTGCTACGGAGAGTGCAAATCTAAGCTTATACTTCGCTAACTATTCGGCTTATAAATCTAGGGTAACTCTAAGAGCTTATACTTCGCTAACTATTCGGCTTATAAATCTAGGGTAACTCTAATTACTAGAGTTGGTGCATTCGGTTTTTCGTAGAATTCCTTGCTTTTTACCATTAATATTTTTATTTATTTATTTTATTTTTTTTTTGTTTTGATCGTAGCAGAGAATTCGATTTGTGCGGGATTTGTGTTTTTGGATCGTACAATTTCAGCGTTCCTCGTTTTTTTTTTCTATCTCGGCCTGCCGGCAAGGGAGGGCGTGGTATAATATCTTAACTTAATGGCCCAATACTGTGTTTAAATCTCTTTGAAAGGCGTTTAGGAAAGCGGTAGTGCTATTAGAATGTTGCCCGTAGGATTATTACGGTGAAATTTCGTGTCATTCCTGCAAGAAAATAAAAAAGGAAAAGGTTATAATATTGTGTAAAATAAGTGTGCTAAATAAAAACTCTCAAATATTTTCTTAACGAGTTTGGCTCCGACGTGACCTTCAAAGTAATAAATCTTTTTAAAGTGGGATTCCCTACAGCAGCAACGACTAATCGTATTCTTTAAAAAATTGTTTAAGTTAATTTAGAGTGACTCTTAAGTTCAAAACAAGATAACAGCGATACAAAAAGTTAAAAAGATAAGAAATGGGGTACACATGCTTAATTACTTTAGTATTATCGCGGACTCAGAATTTCTATTCTTATACAGAGATTTAAACAAACATTCACATGTTGATTTATTTTTTAATATCCACAATGTTTTTCAATTAAAAATTTGTTTCCGTTCAGAGAGTTTTAGAAAAATTCCAACAAAATTTCAAACTTGTGATTCAAGTAAAAATTTGTTGATACAAAGTTTAGACAAATTAAAAAAAATTTCGTCAAAATTTCGATTTTTTCGTTTAGAATTTAAAAATTTTTTTGGGGTATCCAGTTTTATAAACCATAAATTTTAGTAAAGTACAAGGTAAAAACGCTTAAAAAGTAGTGGCCTTTGCTGCATAAGTACCCAAAAATGTTTTAAGGATTCAGAGTGAAAAGTTAGAAAAATGTGATGATTCTTTTTTTGAATCTTTCTAAACTTTTTACAAAGTCTGAAACTTTGCTTTATATGTTTTTTGCTAAAGCATAAAAATAATATTTTTTTATAAAAATAACAAAAAAATATTTAACTTGAAAAACATTGCGAATATTTAAAAAAAAATCAACGTGTAAACACTTTTTTGAGTCACTGTAGGTTATATGGACTGTAGTAAAAAACTTCCGTTTTTAAACGAAAACTTGTATTTTTAGTAATTTTAAGCGATAAGATTTCATGCAAACTTAAGAGAATCAATATTTGTTTGGTTAGTTTGTTGCTAACCGCTGATTTGTAGGATTTTTGCATTTATAAATTTTTTCATCGCTGTATTTTTTACACAATTACATCCTTTTCTGCGTTCGAACAACCTACTAACCATTTTCTCATTTTCTTTCGGGAACATCATATTCTACCTGTATACATGTATACATACATACATACATATTTTGGGTCTACAAAACGATGACTATTTTCAGTACAAATGATATTAAGTTGGCTGTTAGCGCTTTTGTTTCGAGTTAGGCGTTAGTGCAAGTTTAGCATATTTTTTATGCACGGAATGCGCGGCCTAAACTCCAGCTTTTTTTTTGTAAACGGCTTCTCGTTCAATTTTTGACAGAAAGTTTACGAGGCGTAAATTTTCGAAATTTAGGAGGCATTTATGTATGTGTTTCCATGAATACCCTGATTGTATTTTTTCTTTTATGTGCTGGAATTACTTATGCTTAGTTAAAAAACATTTTTTGACATGAACTATCTTTTTTAAAGAACTGTCACTATTGGTATAATTTCGGTTAGTTGATTTTCAGCCTATTCGATGGTGAGCGCTTAATACTTGCTATTCGACAACCAAAAAATTAACAAATTTGCTGACATTGTCCCACAAATGCAGAGGCCTACAGTTTTAGGCAGATACCGAATTCAAATATTTAATTTTACTAGTCGGCAACGAATTTCGCCTGCTATTTACTATGTACAATATTTAATACCAAATGTTTTCTTATCAAATTAATGAGTTAATTCTACAGACATAACGGTAACTAAGTGACACTTTGCTGTAAACACAAACTGATAGCAAAGTAACGCATAGAAATTTGAACTTTGAGATACTATATGTATACATACAAATACATGTAAGGAAAAAAAGAACACAAGTGAAGTAAGCAATGCAGAGTGCGAGGCATTCGGATATTAATGAAGTCAGCAATTTTGCAAAACCTATCAGGCTGATCTCTTATCAAAATGCCTTAGATACTTAGAGATTAAGTTGCATCTGTAATATTGGCAGACATGTTCAGCAATAAAGTCGTTTAAAAACGAAGAGATTACAGCGAATACAAAAAATAATTATTGTTAAGAAAAAAATAATAATAACAAACATAACTCTACTATAATGAAGCAGTTGCCAACTGAGCTTTCCTCTAATCTAGCGTTTTCCCTCTGATTCTAAGCAGAGAACAAGAAACGCCTTCTTCTGAACTGTGAGATTAAAGTCCATGTTAAAGTTTGAGAAAAAGTGATACGGCGCCCGCGTCTTCTTCCAACAAAAAAAAAAAAAAACGATAAGCAAATAGTATGTAAATATAATATAAACCGCCCACCAGATCTCGTTTTCATTTTTAATATGTAGATATATATATATATTTTAAATAATATAATCTAAAAACTAAAACAAAATTAAATTGAATAAGAAAAAAATAAATAAAAAAGGAAAAAATATAATAATAACTCCTGAAAATTAAAAAAATAAACGTTTCTAAAAATTAAGTGCAATTAAAAAAATATATTTCTTTTTAAAGTACATAATAAACTAACTTAACTCTGCAAGACTATTTTTTGTCAACGCCACGCGTTTATGGAATTCTATTCCAGCTGCTACTCGCTGCAGATTAAACAAGGGTAACTTTAAGAATGTGTTGTTTTCCTACTTTCGTCAAAAGGTTTTTGTGCTCTGAGTTCTGCTATCTGCTAGGATTACCATATGTGTATGTATGTATGTATGTATCTACACATGTTTACGTTTGTCTCGCTGTGTTTTTATTTAGATAATAATGTTAGTTTTTAGTCTTAGGATTAGTTGCATTTTTCTTTTTCTTTTATTTTATTTTTAATTAGTTATTTATTTATTTATTTTTTATTAATTGTTTTTCTTTCGTTGCTTTATGTTTGCGCTTTATAATTACCGTTTTACTATAAAATAACTTTTAGATCTTATTGTACTACTGAATTTGTTTAATAAATGAAATTAAATCAAAAAATAAAGAAAATCTAAAAATAAAATCAGAAAAAGAAAAAATAAATAAAATAATTTTCAAAAAATTTAATTAAATCGAAAAAAATATATGTATATGTTTTTCACTCAAAACAAAAAAAACTAGTAACTAGTTGCAAGGTTGGCGTTTTCGTACTTTTTTGGATAGTTCTCTCATTGAGAGCAATTCTTGGAAATTAATTTACTGACAAGTTATTGGATCTTTGTTTAAGTGAACACATGTTATCGTTCCTACTGCATTTCAATTGTCTTATAAGACTTTCAGCTATCTTTGCAAGAATTGCTCTGTAAATTTATAACAGCGCCCTTGTTTTGTATTAGTAGATTTTTCTACGGCGTTAGTCGCCTTAAAACACACACACACATATGTACATACTTAGTCAGCAAATTACACATCCATTCGATAAAAGCATTATCGCACTTTTATCAAATAAAATGGCCCACCTACCGATGCACTATGGGTAAAATTACAACTTTTTTTGGCCAAAATCCTTAAAACCATAAAAATGCAATGCTAATTGAAGCTCACAAGCAAATATGGTGGAAATATTGACAACTTCAAAAATTTTCCGCAGTCATGATTATTGTTTTATTAAACTTATATTTTTTGTATTCCAAAATAATTTAATTATAAGCATTAGCGAAGAAAGTATTATAAGAGAAGTGCATGAAATCAACGTTAAAAATCCCAAAATACAATTTTCATCTTCAAATTCACTTTCATTAATGTGCGAATCTGTATCTGTATCTGCATCGGTGGTTATCCGCGGGTGAATTTGAAATTTCAGGTGCTGATAGTGATGTGCATTCAATAATATCACAGCTCAGCAATGTTCCTCTTTCGCCGAAGACCTTTTATTAAAAGCTCCTCGTGGACGACCGCCCTTTGGATTTGGCGGCGTTTTTAGGTCTTCAACAGCTGTTTCGCCTCTTAACCAGTCTTAAATTTTGTCTTAAAACTTTTCAAACATCTATGTACCTTTAACGACTTTGAGTTGATATTTTTGGCAATACTCTTAGAACTTTAATTCAAAAGGTCTTTGTAGCTATCCGAAATATTTGTGTATCCCATATTTTTAAGCAAATGGTTAAATAGGGAGCTTTCCTTTGCTTTTGTTGTGCACTCTGCGTGCCATACTTTGAATAAGATCTCAATGGGTCAACACCTGCACATATCTGCAAATGAAATTACTGATTAATTGTCTTGGGAATCGATGTACGTAGCTATCTGTAATGGCTTTACGTAATGCATTTTAGTGGAAATCGTTTAGATACACGATATTATAGGAGATTTATGTATTTTTCTCTCTCAAAATAACTTGTTCATTGAAATTAGATTTTCTTCAATCGTTTAGCAGTCAGCGGAAAATATTTAACACTTAACTTTTTTTCTTACCACTTTTCGCCATATGGATACTCTTTTCCACTTGTGAAAATAAATATCGAATGATTGCTTTTACGTGGACACAAAATATCACAGCTTAAAAAACTTTCTTTTTTTTTTTAATAATTCACTAACTGCAAGTTCAAGAGCCTACATCTTTGTGATTTTCCATTACAAATCAAAAATAATTTTCGATTTGTCAGGTCTCATGTATCTATTTTACAAAATCATTAATAGAGTTGCCAAAGGATGTATTTTGATACGAGAGTTTTGGCCACAAAATGGGCTCATTTTATCCATAGTGCGATGGGTCAACCAGCCACACTCAGTGGAAGTGCACTGAATAATCCAGTGCAAAAGTTCCCCGCTGTTTGCGCCCGCTGCTGGATTACCCTTAACAGTTCGCGTGTGAAGCAAGTCACATCGTACATATGTACATATGTACATACTTACATGTATATAAACACGCAAATACCAATGGAACATAATAAATCAACTACTCCAACACAATTGGAGTCCATTGTCAGCAACAATAAATATATACATACAAGTAAGCAAGTGTGAAAAGAAGTCATGAGCGCTGCAATTTTAATTTGATTATTTCCCTGTTCAAGTTATATTTAATGACACCAGCGAGCACCAGAGTAAATAAATATGTATGTAATAAGTGGACAGGGAGTCACTTAACTAGCTCAAGGGAGCTCGAATGTATGCAAGAATCAAAGCGAAGTAGACATTCTGGTGCATTCTGTTCGTTTGCACTGATAATTCTTTGGTAAGTACATAAATGCATATCGTCGTTTAAAGTACAAAAGCGCGTATCGTCATTCTGCAAACCGCGTAACTGAAATTCGCTGTCAAAAATTGGATTTGCTCTTGGCTCAATCATTACCCATTCGTCCTGAAATATACTAGCCAGAAAAGCGATTGCTTTATAAAAAAGAGAACCAGTTTGAAATATGAGTGTTTTTACGCTCTAGAAAATAATTTATGCAACTTCACATACGGGGTTTTGCATTTTCCTGATACGCGGTTTTGTACTTTAAACGACGGTATATAGAAATGTGTGTATGTGATTATACAAACATATATGTATGTATATACTTATGTACATAAGTAGATACTTATATATGTACATATTTACGAATTCAAAGCTTTGCTTATTGGCGGTGCCACTTGCTGCTGACTAAGTAAGTGGTGATCGTTAGGAGGGATTACTTTTGTGTTGTTTCAGCAATTAGTTCGTTAGATCGTAAACAAAACCTAGTAAACCTAGAGAACTTCTGAATTAATTTCGAAAGGAATACGGCACAAAGGTATGTACACTCACCAGAATATGTTTCCGTATAGTGGTTTTTTTTAATATTTGCAATGTTTTTCGTAATAAATTTTCTTCGTTAATTCTTAATACAAATATAGTTCGTTCTGCATTAAATGACAGAAATTAATGTTTCAAGTTTTGTACAAAATTTGAGAAAATTCGACAAATTTTCACCAAAATTTTTTCGAATGTTTTTAGTTATGCAATTTTGTAGTTCACTCAATTTCCATATAATAAAGTGCAAGTTTTAAGTGGCTATAAGCTACCGTTGATTTTTGAAATTTTTTTTGCAGATGTCGCTCACTTCATAAAAAAAATTTTGTTTAAAAGTTCAAAATTTGGTTGAAAATTTGTCGAATTTTCCTAAATTTTGCAAAAACTTTGAATTATTAATTTATATTTGATGCTGAATTATATTTCTATTAAAAGTTAACGAAAAAATTTATTACGAAAAACATTGCAAATCTTAAAAAAAAAACACTGTACGAAAACATATTTTGGTAGGTGTATATATACGGTGACCATGCGTCCTGTATTATACGGGACGGACCATGTTTTTTGACCAATTGTCCTGGTAAGTAATTTATTTTATACGGGATGCCAAATGTTCTGTATTTCTTTAACTGTCCTATATTTGTCCCGTATTCGGTCATCGTTATTTCGACGCCTTAACAGCTCACTAAAATAGTATGCCTACATATGAACCAGTTTTAAATGATGATGGTATGTGATCATAATTTTCTCCATAAACAGTTATTATTTCCTAATCTGAATGCCTGTGCTTCGAATTGATGAGTGACCAAAATAAAAAATAGGACCCTACATTTTAACAAGTTTTGCTATTT